ATAATATATTAAAATAAATAAATTAAGTATAATTTGTTAAAAGTTAAAAAACATAATTATATATGTAGATGTAAAGATATTTTTTAATATTGAATTTTGGTTTATATATGATTACACTTTAGGTTTGATATTTATTTAACCATATTAACCAACTTATAATCATTATTAGAAAGAAATTGAAAAGTCATGGAGTTTCAAATGAATGTGGTGAAAGGAAAAAATACATGGGAGTGTCAAATGAATGTGGTGAAAGGAAAAATGTTTCATTTATAGTATACTATGATATGATGATATGATATCATATAGATAGATAGATATAGATAGATATAGATAGATAGATTGTAAAGTGATCCACAATTCAGTATGTTTGTAATAAAGTAGTAAATATTACTAAGTCGTCCTTCCAAGTCATTATATTTTGCAATTTAAAAATTATAAGATTACTTACATGTGTTTCTAGCTAGCCACAGTAATCCTTGCGTTTCACAAAATATATTTAGCCAAAAATCGAGTCCCCACATTAGTCCTTGAATAAGTTTTTCCTATAAACAAAATAAAGGGTTGGTGCATCCTTTTTATAATATAGAGGGAATATATCTTCAACTATAACGCATCTATCTTGAAATTAGGAGGATGGAGTGTTCCATATGGAATGGAAAGGATAGAAATGTATGGCGAGAGTAATTTTGCTCCTGATTGTTCTTCACATTTAGACCGCTTCACATATTTTGATGTCTCGTGTATGGGTTCCTTCTTTATTATATTGCTTCCTCGACCTTTTCATCATTTGTTTTTATTTCTTTTTCTTCCCATCTTCCTTATTCGCTCTAACCTATATGTCAACATACTAATGTATTGCATAATATACTAAATGAATAACTTACCGAATATTATACCTACCTTTTTGCATCTACAACCTTATAAACTCTCTTCAATTCAACCTCAACATGCTCCTTTTCTCATGATTTTTTCTTTTTAGGATCCTTATTCGGCCTAAATTACATGTCACAATACTAATGCATTTAAATACCTTATTACAAATACAACAAAGACTTATTCAATAAACATATCATCCGAGAATACTTTGTTTCCCCCTAAACATGTTTTATATCATACCTGTAAAATGGAGCAACAAACTCTTGACAATTGCGTCCTACATCTTGGCCTGATAAGTATGTAACTCTAGTAATACGGCCTCGGCCACTATCATGTGCTCCTCAATATAAATGGTGGTAATAGAATATTCTCATACAAATGAGCTCGAAGGAATGTTTGTTCTAAGTATAAGGAATTTGAGTAATAACAATGATATTATGTCAATATTAATTGAACTTTTAATTACAAAATATAATAAATTGGTCAAGTAACATTTATTTCATCAATTTTGTTAAAGAAGCATGAAAATTAGACATTCGATATTACATAAATGATGATTTGCAAAACTTGACAAGACATATGACATGTACTTCAAGTAGAAGCTAATATTTGACAAGTTTGATAGAGAATGCTTGAAATTGATAATTTGAAATTAGAAGGTTGTTTCTTGAGAAAGTAAGTGTAAGTATTTAAAAATGACCAAGACAAGATTAATATGTTTCTATTATATATAAATATACAAGGATGAACAAATGACCAAAGTTTAGTTAATAAGAACTAAAAGTGCTAAAATGGAATTTAGGTAAAATTGATAATTGTTCATTTGAACTATATATATATATATATATATATATATATATATATATATATATATATATATATATATATATATATATATATATATATATACTTTAAATGGTATATACAGAGTGTTGAAGTATAATAACATCAAATTAGATTGAAAATTGTAAGTTTGAAAATAGTTTAAGTTTGAAAATAGTTTATGCGTTTAGAAACTTCATTGAAGTAGATTGCTAAGTTGGTACAAAATGTAATAACATCTATCAAATTACAATAACTTATGAAAATGACATTTTTTTTGGTAGCCTAATTAGTCAAAAATACATAAAAACGGCAAGATGGATTTAATTCTTTTTTAGATATATTTGGCTATTATAACAAGTTGCGAATGGTATTAAAATGACTAGAATATTATATTTATTACATCTTTATGAATTTTAAAGTAAATCGCTAAAGGAAATTAATTTTGTTAAAAGAAAGTAAGTTGCTAAATTGTGATTATAAAAATTTAATATCTAACATTTCAAAACCTTTATGATGTAATTAGTTTAGTAATATAATAAAACTAAACTACATTAAAGTCATTTAAATATTGTATAAAGTGACGACTGGAAGTATGTTACATAGATTAGAATGTTAGTATTTTGAACTATTGATATGGTTATGGAAATGTTACATAGATAAGAATGTTAGTATTTTGAACTATTGATATGGTTATGGAAATGTTACCTAGTCTATGATATGAAATGGTCATAGAACCATTTAATGATGATAATTGTGATTTTATGAATTGAATAGATACGATGCAAATAGTATGGATACTCGGTTGATATTAGGGATGGGATTTTTAGCTGAGAAACCGAACAGGAACAGATTAGTGGTATTTAGTCTGGTTTCCGGTTCTCTTAATCTATCATTTTCGGTATTTTATCCTTTCAGTTCCGACCAGTTTCAGTACCATACACCTTCTTACTTAGCACGTTTCTTAGCAAAAACTGAATTGACCTGGAATTGAACCGGAATCGGAACTAGCTGGAACATGTTATTAGTGTTGGATTAAGGTGTCTAAGCCAATAACTAAATTGGTATATACTTAACTTAAAAGCAAAGTCCTTTTTGGGTTGCCCTTAAAACTAGCAATTGACTAGAATGACTTTTGGAGAGAGAGAGAGAGAGAGAGAGACTAATTTATTGATTTACTATATGATTAATAAATAGCAATAAATAATTTGTTAATATATTATGAGATTAATATATTAATTAGAAATAGTATTATCTAATTAATAATTAATTAAAATTAATTTTGGGATTAATTAGATTAATTAAAAGTGTAGGGACTTAAGATGTAATTGTTCAATAGTTGAACAAGAGGGATTCCAGAACCTTCCCAGGAGGGGACGGTTTTGGAGAGCCTTTAGGATTCTAGAATTATCCCTTAAAGATAATTAGAAAGTTTGATAATTATCTAATTTGAAATAATAGTATTATATTCAAATTAGGGTTTCCAGGGGTTCTTATGTCAGCTATAAATAGGACCCTTAGGATCCTATTTTTTGTCCACAACTTTCAGAAAGGCAGGAGCCAAAAATTCCATCATCTCTCCTCAAATGCTCTAACTGCTAGGGTTTAGGTACAAACCATTAAAGGCATCAAGTTTTTGTTGCTTGCTTTCCAATGCATTTGAAGAAAGGAATTGATTTGATTATTTACTATAATAATCAAAAGTTATGTAAACCCTAATCCCTTGTTAATTTCGATATTAGTAGGGCCTCTTTAGGGTTCTTGATATTCATAGATTATTTGTTATTAATAAACAAAATTTAGATCCAAATACGTTGCATGTGAACTTAAGGGTTAAGTTATTTTGCCTCATGCTTTGAATTATAACATATAAACCCTATCAAGTAGTATTCGGTTCGGTTCATGGTTCCTCTAATATCCCATATCTAGGTTTTGGTTCTCGTCCGGTTTGATCCGGTTATGTGCCGGTTTACGTCCCTAACTAAGACTAAATTGTTACATAATCTCCCAATATAAGTACATGTGGACTTTTTCCCACTTTGGGATACATGTTACGAAATAAAAATTTCATTGCATAAAATTTCTTTGAAATATGATATGATATGTAGAAACACTTTATGAAATGTTTATGGCTATGTCAGATTATTTTGATACATTGCATCACAAGATTGCATACATGTAAATGAATTAATAATGAAAAATTTTGTTAGCTTATGCATATTATTGAATTTCGACTGCATATGAGTTGTTTTGTGATTGTCTAGACATCATATAAAACGAGGTATAAACGAGTACTATCGAGAAGGTATCATTAGGTCGTGGCTTATCGTCCAAGGAATAACCTCCTGTAATTGGATCATATTTACCTTATTTTTTCTTCCACATTTGATAATGAGATGGTGAATCATCGTAAATAGGAGTGAATTCCCCATATAAATCTATATGTAACTAATAAAGGTATGGCCTCCAAGATGAATCAACATGTAACCGATAACTGGTGTGAACATCACAACATGAATGAGCCGGTATAGAACTGAAAAAAGATATCAACTCCCCAACTCTAACATTTGTGTTTGATCATGCATTGCATTACAGTGCCAATTGGCATGAAAGATGTTTTAAAACAACTTTTTATCAAATGATTTGAAATGTACATATATTGTAACAAAATATATGTATCTCATAATATATTATCTTACTTATTATTTTTGTGACATGTATCCATAGGCATTTGTATTGATTATTGATAATGTCTTTTTTATTCATATATTCTAAGCAATATCTTAGTACCTTAGCCATATTTTAGTCTTAAATTAATAAAATTAATATATATATATATATATATATATATATATATATATATATATATATTAAAAATGTCCTAAGTTAGCAACAGTAAACTTGGTGGGTTTTGGCATCTTTAGTCCACATATTTGCTGTATCTCGGAATTGGTCCGATTCTTTGTTGAAATTGCAGTTTGGTCCTTACCAGGGTATTCTCATCGGGGTTACTTTACCTCAACCATGATCACCGCTTATTCTCTACCGCTTTACCAAGCCATCAGGTATACTCAACAAACATCACCGTCTTCCATCCTTCCAGAACTCTCTCTATCCCTCTCGCCATTATTGTTTTCTTCCTCAAGGATTTTTTGCTTCGGTCGCCTTCTGATTCCACAGTTCGTTCCTTGCTTCTATCCTTCCTTCTATCACAGGTAATCTTCTTCTGTTCTTCAACCTTTGTTTCTTCCATTTGGTTTTTTGTTTACTTCCTTTCTGTTCTTTCATCGGTCCTTCTTCCTATGTCTGTCCAGCCGAAGCTGAAACCTAATGACGGTGCTTCCTCCTCTGTTGGAGTTTCCGTTGGTGGCCGTTGCAGGTGTCGCCGTCTTCCAGCCTTTTCTGTTCTTCCCCAATACCTTGATTCTGGGGACTGTGACCGTGTTTGTGAGTTCTGCGGTGCATATTTCTGGTATGTTGAGAGGGTCCTGAAGTTCTCCACACCTGGTCATCCGAGGTATAATCACTGTTGCAGGGGTGGAGATGTTGTGCTTCCTTACGTCTGTTAAGTTCATGATTTTTGGGGACGAATCGGTTTCTGTTGGGACAGTTGATGAAGCGTGTGGGTCTCTAAGGTATCCTACTATTCCATCGGCTTACTTTTTTTCTCCATGTCGATTTGTTTTGAGTACCGGGTGTAATTGAAATTTGATTGTCGTTTTTATAAGGTTGCAAACAGAAACCCTTTTTCCACATTCTACATGCCAACTTGCTGTTTCCACTTTATATGTGTATGTGTGTCTTCGTATCTATGCCCACCACCTGTTTGAAGAAATGTCTAAACCAAATAACAAAAAAAAACATTTTTTAATTTAATGTCTGTTTATAATGCTGCTGAAATTAAATACCTTTGGTTTAGAAAGGTAAATTGTTCGTTTATATTGATTGTAATTTTCACTTCTTCTTAGTATGTTTCTTTGGCATTTCCTTTTCCTACTCTAATGATAATTGTGAGCACTATAATTTGATGCAAACTGAAAGATTGAAACCTTAGATAATAAAAGTATCAATCATATGTTTGTTTGTTGAAATCATTTCATTTTGTGCTTTCATATTTATCTTTGTTTGAATTTTAAAGATATAGGTAGTAATCGGAACTCCAGGTGGCCGACAACAGGCCGGGACTGCAACAGGTGAATCAGGTACTTTCTATATACGTAGATTTCTTGGGTTTATGAATTATTCAAATTTTGTGTTCCAGCGTATTCAACACCACCGAAATTGTTGCAGTATCCTTAGGTTCCTCTAAATTGTCGAACAAAAAAAATATGTATGATTGGGAACGGGAGAGGTTCCGGTTCTCTTGTGACTCGGCTCCTGCTCATACGCTACTTCTCTGCAACTGCAAAGTCGACATCAGTGAAAGCTCAGGCCACTAGTTTATTTCATTGGATTATTGTTTCTATTAACTTTATAATTCCATCCAACTTTACCTACACTTATCTGTGTATTGGTGTTTGACTAACAGGTGTTGGGTTAAATGTTTTACATAAATCATTATATCAGGGGATTATTGTTTCCCTAGATTTGTCTGCTAATCATGAAAAGCAATCACCATCTCAAAACGATGCTCAGAAACTTGAAGGTTTGCTTACCGAATCCGTTCTGTATCTATGTCATTTGATTGATTGCTAAGTTGCTATTAGTGATTTTTATAATTTTAGTAACTTTGATATAGAGTCGATTGTTGAGGCTTAAGCTCATTGCATGATTGATGCAAAAGAAAACTTAGATATATCAAAAATTTACCAGTATGCTTTTTTTAAGTCTTTTATCATTGTAAAAGTCAAACTTACTTTCATCCTTAAGGAACAGTATTGATCATACTACCACATGTTATTTAGATCCTACGGGAGCGGATTTCTTGGCTTGAAGCTACAAATCAGGATTTGTGTCGCAAACCTCATGAGAATTGCAATGGAGGCATCACTATTGATCATCAATCTTTCTCTAAAGTATGTAAAAGTTTGTAACTTTTGTCAACATTTATAAAAAAAATAACCAATTATGCTGCAATTTTTCAGATTGGTGATTCCTTTTGCGTGAAAACTTAACGGCTTAAAAGGGGTTTGCAAATTATCAATTCATCAGATTATGAAATGAGTGAAAGTGGTAAGCTTAAAAAAATTATACAAATGTAAAATTATTTTTATTTAATCATTTTTTTTAAATGACAATAAATATAGGCGATTCTGGTGTGATATAGGAAGAAACAGCAAAAGAATTGGAGCATCCCCTTCTCCAAGACTCTATGAATAAAAGGTTACATGAATTAAATAAACGATTAGAACAGAAAGAATCAGAAATGAGACTTTTTGAAGGATCGGATACCATGACTCTTAAGCAACATTTTGGAATGAAGTTAATGGAACGTGAGGATTAAAAACAGGCAGTTCAAGTAAAAACATAAGCATAAAAACACTATAGCTTTAAAGTTGGATTAATTTTTTTTTTTTAAAAAAATTGATAATTCATGTTTTCTTGCTCATTTTTATAATTGTTGCAGTTAAATTCAAATCTCTTGAATCACAGGTTAATAATTATAAATGTTTATCTTTTTAAGCATTTGATGAATATCTAATTAACATGTGGTTCTTTTTTGTGGTTGTTGCTTCAAGATATTTGAAGATAAATACCCGTCAAGTAATATTAGTTTCCTGTTGATCATAAATCTGTTGTTTTTGGCCCGTATACGAAGTATCATGTAAGTAAATCATAAAGCTCATAGTAAAATTATTATTTAACTAAAATCACAAAACTTAATTTCCAAATAAATTCATGAATAAAAATTGGTTAAATTGCAATTTTTCATTCCATTAGTCAAGTGAAGGATTAACAAAATGGAAGGGGTCATATTCCAAAGTAATGGAATGAGTGATTCCATTCCGGTTCTGATTCCATGAAATCAAGAGGTAAATTTATAGAATCAAAAGTTAAAAATTAACTCTCCAAATGCAGTGCAGATGTATGGCTAAGTTTCTGATTGGTCTCTTTTGGGTGGGAATGTTCCATCACCTCTACAATCAGGTATGAAAAAATATTGTAGGTTTACGAAAAAAACTTACCCACCTTTTTAATATAACCATAAAAGTCATTGGTCAAAATGTGGTAGGTTGACCTGCAGACATTTTTTCAACCCGTGTTGAGATTCGGTGAATAATTAAGGGACATTTGCAGAATATAGCAATGTAATTTACTTTTTTTTTGTCGTAATAATATTGTAATCTTATTTTTATTATATGATTATCTGGCTTCACACTTTGTCCGAGACCATGCCAGAGAGCATTGTGCGTTCCCCGGTCTCTAAAAAACAGAAAACTCCAGGCACCAAGTATTTTTACTTGACCATTTTGCCCTTGATAAAAAAATTATTTTTAATGTTGATTAAACATTCACTCCAATATGTTGACTTGGTAAAGTAAAGGATAGTTTTGCATTTTTGAACCACATATATTGTTTTTTTCCATTCAAACCATCAAAATGGTTAATTTGGAAAAAAAGATTTGATTGGGTCCAACTAAATTGAAAAATATTAATTTGATTGCGCCACAGAAATAGCCCTTGAGAGAGCCAAGTAATTAACAGATTTTATTATTTTCCACAATTTATATAATGATTAATTACTACCCTCCGACTTTCAGGCTATTACTAGAATCAGCCCTTACTACAACAAAAAAAACTCACTGGAAGACGATGGTTCCAAAGTGGAAAAGCTTCTGCAGTAAGTTATTCTGTTTATGCCTTTATGCTGATGTGGCATTGATGACTTCAAATGGCAATGATGTGGCAATGACATGGCATTAACATACGTTTTATATTGTTAGTTTTGGCAGAGACATGCAGTATATGGAATTTATTTTGAATATAATGTCTGTTTGGTTGCAATATTTGATGTGTTACCATGTTGTTGACTAAGAGTCACCACAGATTGATGAAGTGATACTCAGAATTTTGTCTATATCTAAAGTGCATTCCTCTGGTTTTTCCCAGGTGACATCATAGTTTCAGTACATTTTTGTCTCTGGAATCACACAAATTTACTAAACGTAACTTTGATTTATAGCAGTGATGCAGGATTTAGTGGTGGTGGACTGCTTATACAGTCGGAGATGCAACATGGTCCGGTGAATATGGTGGCGGGTGCCCAGAATGTGAATGGGGTTGCAGTTGGTGGACTTGAAGGGTATTTGGGTAATTCGAGGTTTTCCTATTAGGTTACTCATGGTTATGGCAATGGAATGGAATCACAACATAACATTTCAAACTCTGGAATTATGGATTCCATTTCGGTTTCATATCAGGTAAATGGAACAGTTATGGATGACTCTCCTTCATATCTGTCGTTTACTTTTTGGAGTATCCAAATCTATGGATTAATATAAGAATTCAATTTTATGACCCTTTTTTTGTAGGGATATGAGTTGTTACATTGAAGGCAGCCTTGCATCCAAGAAGTTTTTATTACTGAAAATTTGGAACTTAGTGTTAAACTCCCATGAAGTAATGTGAAAGAAGTTGCTGAGAAGGAACCCAAGAAGAAGGTCAAGGTATGGAATGGAATCATTCATTCCATTGGAATGAAATAAAAAACGTTTTCTTTTTGTTGGATGGAATTAAAGTGATAAAACTAATTTCATTCCTTTGTTTCATGTTTTAGAAAAGCTCTGTGGATGCAATCTGTACCACAAGAGGCATATTTCCCCGGTTGTTCTTTTTTTGTTTGAATTTATTGTAGTACACTCTTATGTTTAAAATGAAAGACCAATTCATCAATTTTTTTAATTTGAAAGGTGATGGGGTTACTTTGTTAGCATCGCTTAACTGTTTTCCCAAATCTATTTCTTATTTGTCTTTGTATGTTTTCCCAAATGCAATGCTATAATTGGAAGAATTTGAAGGAGGCGAATCATGTGAAACAAGGACACATTTTAGAATGACACACGCAAAAAAAAGCACACACTGACCCGGGCGAAGCCCGGGGTACCCTGCTAGTTATACTTAAAAAGCTTAAAAGTTATTTTGTGACTTTGAAGATGTTCTTGCACAAAAAGAAGACAAAATGATTGGATTTAAGAAGAATAATGGAACAAAATAATAAAAGAAGAAAAAATTTGAAAATTTGAAATAACGGCACGATCCTATGATATTAGCGATGTAAAGACGATGACGAAGTGATACCCTTTAAATGTTTAAAATTGGAGAACACGCGATAAGATTAGGCTTAGCGGCATGATCTCTGAAATTTTGGAAATCTTATAAATGTGGATATGCTGTGACATCACTTATTTCCCATAACAGAAAAAAAAGCTTTTTTTTATGCTTTCAAAAAACTATAACATCCTTGTTTGCCGAAAATCCCAGTATAATAAAGCATTTTGCCGAAATTGTTTCGTTTTATTAAAATATCTTGAGTAAAGATGTTGTTTCAAAATATAAAAACTCTTAGGATGTCATAATCAATACACAACATATGTTATATCGTAAAGACCTACGGTCCTAAACACTATTGCAGGTCTTCTCTTTAATCACTCAGCATCCTATTCAAGTCTTCATCAGTCTTAACACCGCTACCTGTGATGCATATAAATGGAGTGGGTCGGGTGGAAAATTTGGAGATATACATTGGGTTTTCAATCCTGAAATGTTATTATGATAATAACCTATAAACAATAAACCTGCAAGTATCTATAAGACATTTTACCCTTAGTTACCCATCTCGTCAATCCTCACATATTAATCATATAATAGTGATCTTATAAGATCTGTCATGAGGGATCACTATAAACAACGAGTTGACTATACTGCTTTGGGAATTCCTTGGCAGCAGGCGGTAATCAATAAAGGCAACCATGGGGGGGATAAAGTACACGAACGAACCTACGATCTTTTTTCACTAGATCGATATGATTTATTAACACCACAAAACTAGTTTTAGTCAGGGTGGCCATCTATACTCCGTTAGATGACTAAGACATACCTAGGAGTGGTTTGATACAGATGCACCTTATTTGGTCGTCAAACACAAAAGGATGGAGAATACTAATATAGTACTTCAGTACGCACCCGCACCCCACCAAATCACAGGTATCAACGAACAGAGTTCTACTCTCCGTTCCAATATCACACACACCCTTAATATAATTCTACCCAATGTCCAAACTTAATTGAACTATTCATTCCCTTTAGGTCTTAGGGTATAACTAAACAAGATTACAATACTCGTAATAAACACAAATTACCTGCCTATGCAATATCTTTACAATACATGATATCCCTAACATTCTTTCAACTTAACTCGAACTAAGCATCCTTTATAAGTCTTACTTTATCACTAGACAAGACTATGATGCGTATAATTTTTGAAACTATTTTTCCTAGTTATACAGTACTTATCGCAATACAACGTATGGTTATACTTTTATTCAAATTAATGGGGTCTAAAAAGCCTCTAGACGTCTTAGTTTAAAATTTAAACTAGACTATAAACCATGAAGTCAATGTATATATTTAACATGTATTTAATATGTATTAATCTTTTAAGTAATAAGACTTTTATTAAGATTATCATGTAATTAATACCATATATTTACACTTAACATATATAACCATATCTGGCTCAAACAATGTATATTATCAAATATAAATTTAACACATATTCCATAAAATAAGTAATTAATTCACGTATAAACTTTCACCATATATTTAATACTTTTAATAAATAGTTGTGTTAAAATCATGTTCATGAAAATAACTATGCGCTCACCTGGTATTTGTGGAAGACTCGTGGGAAAGTCGGCTCTTTGACTGACACTTCAGATTTCCTTTTAAAACGACCTAAATACAAATATTACTAAGCCTTAGTATCCGTTCGTATTTATAAGGTTTAATCATTATAATGTTTTTCTCAGATTCATCAATAATCCCGAAAGAAATACTAACTTATATTTGATAAGAAACAACCAGCTAAGGTCGTATCCGAGGTAGGGATCTGTTTGGCATATAAATATATACTGTTTGGGAAATCCACTTTTAACACCTCACAAATCTGGCCTAGACATCATTCCCGTAAGTAGATCGATGAATATAACGATTGGTATTACTGATAAATCTTATTTATAAGTTCATAATAACGAATACTGATGACGTGCCATCGTCACTAGTCAGGAGTCGCGCTCAGACGCGCCATAAAAATCCCCAAGGCAGATCACACCTAACAGAGCAAGCCAGACAGAACCTCGTGCTTGCAGACGCCCTCTAAGCGTAGGGCGCCTGCGGAGAAGGCCCGGACCCGCCAAGGGGCCTTCTACTCCGCGACAAAGCATAACGACTCCAGACGACAAGGAGGATGCTCAGCGCATTACCACCTGAACCAACCGTTAGCTCTGCCAGAACAAGGAGCACGATTGCCCAATATCGTGCCCGATCCTGTCGGGTCTGACACCCTTGTCTCGTACAGACTAGCAGGAGGCCTCAGTATAAAAGGCCTCCTCCGGTACCTAGAAAGGTAAGTCGCTCTTTCCCAGTTCACACAGATAACCACCTAAGTCCGTCTACTGACTTGAGCATTGGAGCGTTTTCCCAGGATCCCCTCCCGGAAAACGGTTGACGATTCCACCCTATTGTGACCCTGCAGGTTAACCGGAATGAATACAAGCAGCGAAGACCTACGTCTGGTGACCAGGTCGCATCATTTAGTGCCATCCGACCAACCACCCATAGCAACCCAACCACTGACCTTCCAATTCCAGCAGCAAAACTTTTATGGCTAAACTCCAGGGCACCTTTCAACGTACAACAACATGGTAGTGCAACCATACCTCACGGCTCAGCAGTTTAACCCCCAGGGCGCTTTATCCATCCCAAACCAAGATTGTTTATCACAAAGCGTGACATCCCTATTCGCTAAGGAACTCCTAGACTATGAAATCCCAAATATAGCAAAACTACCACACTTTAAAACCTACAATGGAATCACAGACCCAGATAGTCACATCAACACCTACAAATGGACAATGACCTCGTTAAAATTGGACAAGAGATTTTGGTGTATGTATTTCCCAACAACCTTAGACGACAATGCAAGAACGTGGTTCAAAACATTACGCCCTGGAAGCATTTACAATTTCGGCCGGTTAAAGTATCTTTTCCTAACAAATTTCATGCAACTGTGCAAATACAAATGAGATTCACACTCAATCATTGGTTGCAAGCAAAAGGACAGGGAGACGGTGCGCGAGTACTTCACCTGATTTACTAATGCCACATTAGACGTTCCAGGGCACGATGAAGGATTAATAGCAGGCGCTTTCACATGGGGCCTCCTCCTGGGACCGTTGTCCCAGAAGCTCATGGGAAAGAAACCCCAGACACGGGATGAACTAAAGGACAGGGTGGAGCGCTACCTAAGACAAGAGGAAGGGGAAGCAATCAAGCAAGCATACTTAAATGCCATGACCACCTCCGCGACAAAGCATCACAGCCCACCGTCGCACCACCCAGAAACTATGGGCGGAAGCAAGCACTTCGGGCGCGGGAAACACCCACAAGGACGTTTTAGGCCGTTCCCAAGAAATGATGGGAGAGGTAGACGGCCAGACGTTTACGCAGTCTCCGCCAGACAACCGGTGAAAGGAGAAAAAGGATGGTACCGCGAGTACCACAAAAGTAAAACACACGACACTATCAACTGTTCAGTATTACAAAGGGAAATGGAGGAGAAACAAGTAAAAGGGAACCTAATAAAAGTAGCACGGAGCCTCCGTGCCAATTTTGAAGCCAAAAATACTAAGGAAGCAGCCAAAGAGCGTGACCAACCCCATGAGATCTTGATGATCAGATCCAAGAGAGGGAGGCAGGAAGAATGCAGTGGGGTAGACAGCCTTGCGAAATCCATACAGGGTTTAACGTTCTCAAAAAAAGATCCCTGACCTATAGGTTGGTGAGGAGATGACCCGTTCATAATTCAGGGATCCATCAAATACATCACTATCCACCGGGTATACATCGATACCGGAAGTTCAGCAGACATTATCTACGAGCATTGCTTTTGTCTCCTCCTAGATAAGAGGAAGGAAAGCCTCAAGCCTGCAACGGGGCAATTGACGGGCTTCACGGGACAAAGCCTATGGCCCCTAGGCACGATCCACCTGTCATTCACGCTGACTAGCTACAACAAGGAAAAAAAAGAAGACAACCCTCATAGATTTCGTTGTAA